CGGGGAGGCTCCCAAAGCCCAGAAAAGTTTGAAACAAGCCCCCCCCCCCCCCCCCGCGCAAAAATGCGCTGGGCCCACCCGTTATCGAACTGGGGGACCCAACCGGCCGGGCCGCCCGGGACCCCTGCTGGACGGAGGCTGGGCCGTCGGGCAGCCCGGAGTTTAACACAGATTTATACCCCCCTTCCCCCCCCTTGACAGCCAACTCTCAAAAAATGAAAAGAGCCCGGATTTGGGGTCCTCTGGGAGAGCGCAGGAAGGCGGCCGGGCATGAAAATCTTCCTAGTAAATAAATAAATAAATAAATGTATAACTAAGTCAAAGGTATCTACTGTTAACAAGTTTGTAGCCTTGTGATCGTTCCGCAGCCAGACGGAATCGAACCGGTGACCTCGGGCTATAACAGCCAGATGCCTTTAGCACTGCAACGGTGACCTGGTGTTCAAAACTGAAGCCATACAGGTCGTGGCATTCAGCCCACCCCAGCATTGTTGCAGCAAGGACTTACGTCAACACGCGACATCCATGAGATCCTCTGCAGGCAGCAGAATCCACGCAGAATCCAAGATCCTCCGCCGTTGCCAGCATCCACCCGTGCACCAAAAAGTGTCTACTGGCTGCCTAACAGCTGGGAAAATGGAAGCCATGCATAACGGATATACCAGCCTGTCCCACATCTTCGCAACTATGAGAAGTATTTTAGACCGTGTTACGAGAGTTGATCCGCCTCCTGGTATAGCTGAATGAGAGTTTTCTGAAGTGTAGGAAATAAATTGTGCGACACAACAACTGAGCAGTGCCAAAAGCAAAAAAAGTGAACTCGAATTAACCTGCCGGTGACAGCAGCCATCCTTTGCAAAGGACTCTGAACAGAAGCATTCTGCGCAGTCCACGTCTTGTTGGGAAGGGGAAGCAACTAGGTTGTCTAGTCTTTTCCCGCTGTTTTTTTTTTGTTTTTTTGTCCGACTTTTGCACCTCGCTTTAGAAGGGTCATGATCGATCGCAGTGCCACAGATATCGAATGTCGAAATCCCCTCCTTTTCCCTTGAGATTTGATTCATGTCTCCTGTCCTTCATCTCCAGTCCAGCCAGTACTCTGCATGGGAGATTCAGTACTTCAGCACCATTAGTATCCTTCGGGCAACTCACGTACCGAGTCATGTGGGCCGCAAGTGCAGATCATTTTTCTGATTAGGGCAGTGTTGCACACGCCGACCGTCGGCGACCCCTGACTGGTCGGCTGCCAACACGCCGACCGGTCGGCTGGTCGGCCCCTACCGGTCGG